AAGTGTATTGCACGCGGCGACCGCGCTTACAATGGAAGCTGATCGTGTCAACGGTCTGACGACGTTGTAAACTGGCGCCGAAAGGCTGCACCATGTACCACAACGACCCAACAACATATGGATTGATTCCATGACAAAGTTCACACTCACGGATCTTGAGAGGATTGGCATGCAATTATTTCGAATCTTGTTCTGTTGTTTCAAATGGGAACGTTACGTGCAGCGGCAGCGGCATCGACAGGATGAGTGCATCGGCTGGCCGGTTCTTCCGCTTCCACCCTCCCCTAAGCCAGCATGTGATTTTTGATATACTTGTTGGCGCCGCGGCGCCACCGCCTAGCCCCACGTAAGTCCGCCCCGCGGGACGAACAGGCGCAGAGTCTAGCGTGCAGTGTCCACAGCCAGCTCCACCGAAGTCCTCCGTTGCTGGGTGTTGCATGCTAGCGTTTCCCCGCCCGTTTCGGCACACTCCTTACACGTTTCGCGGCCCCACAGGGATCTCCATCGATGGCCCCAGTGGCATGGTGTTGCATAGCGCCAGCCCGTTCCTTTCCGAACACCTCTCTGAACGTTTCGTGGCCCCGCAGGAGGCTCCACCGAAGACTTTATCGTCAGGCTATCGCATGCGGTTTCCGCCCATTCCGGCACACCATTCACATGTTTCGTCGCCCCGCAGGAAGCTGCACCCAAGGCTTCGGCGGCATGGTATCACATGCTCTCCAGGCCGAATTTCGGCACATCCCTTACGCGTTCCGCGGCCCCATGGGGAGCTTCTTTCTTTTCGCGGCGCGTTGCCTATGAGGAGGACCAATTCCTGCGCTACTCGCAGCCGCTTTGAGGTGGGCTTATTGCCAGGTTATATCATTGGTTTGCTCATTTCTTTGTTTTCCCTTTTCACCATTTCCCATTTTCATATATTACAATGCCAGTGACATTTCCAGACAGTGTGTTTCTGGCAGTCTACGTTGTTCAACAAATCTTGTGCAATCTATGTTGTCTAAGATATGTGGTCGATTCCATGTGACGTGTTGCAATCAATGCCATGCAATCTATCGTGTGCAACAAAGGTTGGAAAACTACATTGTGCAATCCATGTGGTGCAATCTGTGTGGTGCAATCTATGTCATACGGTGCGAATGAGTGCAACACAATGCGATGCAATGCGAAGCGAGCGGCGACGAGGCGGCGACGGCGGCGACGTGGCGGCCAGAGTTATCCGCAGGCCCAGACGATTGGCGGCGACGAGGCGGCGGCGGCGGCTACATTTATGTCGGGCCTGTTCCTCTACAGGAGGAATGTTCAAACATAGTAACAAAATGGTCAAACATCGTCTGGGGACGATGTTCGACTATTTCCGATTATTTCTGGAGTTTTTTTTTTTTTTTTTTTCCTAAAATGTCGTCCCAAATCCGCGTGTAGGGGCACCTGCCCGACCTAAGGCTACACAGTCGCCAGACTGCGGCTACACAGTCCTTATTCTAAGAGTAAGACGGCCTGATTGCAATCACTGTCCGGGGACTGTTTCACAAACTCTGTCTCTCCCTCTCTCTTCTCTTTCTCTGTCTCTCTTTTTCTTTCCCTTGTACCCTCTCACTCGTTCCCAACCTGTTCTGTTAATTGCTTCGTTTGTTCACGCACTCTCTCTCTCTTTCCTTCTGTCTCGGTCTCCTTGTCCCTCTCTCTCTCTCTCTTCTTTTTTTCTCCTACAGGAATACTTTATTTATCCGTCTCTCTGTATGTTGGAGTGGGGAGGCCGAGCGGTCTTACATTGACCCTGGGTGCAAGGCTGTAGTGGGCTTCCACGGTGTGGACTGTCGTCGTCGTCTTTGTTGATGCTGACTGACACGGGACCTTGTGCCCTGGACCCCTCCCAACAACCAGCAACCTCAGCAACCTCATCGGGGTGCCTTCCCATCCCCTATGGGGTTGCTGGGGCTGTTGGGGACCTCTCCAGGGAGTGGATTCTTAAGGATGAGTTGGGGTCCTGTAGGGTTACTTGGGTTTCTCTGGATCCTTCTGGATTCCTTTGAATTGTTGTCGCTTCGCGAATCCCCACCAGCCCATCCAGAAACGATGCCCAGAGGAATTGCCTCGATCAGAGAAGTGGGCAGCACACAGAGGAAGCCATTATGAGACATCTTGGGATATCTTGAGCCATCTTGGAGGTCATTTTGGGCTCTCCCAGACGCTCTTGGAGTCATCTTAATCCGTGCCCCCCCCCAAGAGGCCTCCATGTGGCTAAACCTGTGTAGAATCAATGATTAGGCATTCTCGCCGAGGCCTCTTGGAGCATCTTGGGTGCATCTGGGGGGGCTCTTGGGGCCTCTTGGGGGTCTCTTGGGGGCCTCCGGGGGGCCTCTTGGGGGCCTCTTGGGGCCATTTTGGGGCCATGTTGGGACCTCTTGGGGCTTCCTGGGCGCTTTTGGGGCCATCTTGGAGGGAGTCGATCAAACAAGAGGGGGGGGTGAATTAGCGCCCCCCCTCGGAAGCCCCTAAAATC